CATGACTTTCCGGGTGAGGTGTTTGTTGCGCGCGATGTCCACCGCCTCGGGCTTGGGGCCGGGGAGCCCAGTTGCCTCGGCCAGACGAGCGGCCATCGGCACACCCAGCTCACAGAACGTGCAGATGCCGTCCGCTGGACCCGTCGCTTCGTCCGCGCTGAGCTCCTTGATGGCGGCGAGTGCGCTGTTGAACACCGACTCAGCGTCCATCCCCATGTCCACGGGGATGAACTTCGCGATAACCTGCTCCTCGACAAGCGACTTCGCCCACGAGTCAGGTGTGTCGATGATGACTGCCTTGACGCCCATTTTGGCGGCTTTGCGGAAGATGAACTTCTTCCGGGGAAGGCCGGCCGAGACGAAGACGATGGTGGCTCCACGCAGCAGCTTGCACCTCAGCTCCTGCTCCTCGGGGCCTGCGCGCGAGAGCGCTTCGCTGGGGATCCTGCGCAGCATCTCGAAGGTCGCGGTGGGCTCGTGGGATCTGAGGGCAGGCAGGCGAGTGGTCAGTTTTCCGAGCACAGAATGCTGCAAGACCTGCTGATTAGAATAAACGCTGTCCACACTTTCCTTTCTTATTTGGAAGTCTACCTATATCTTATGATCAGATATCTTGAAGGGCACTACGTTCAACGACGATGATTTGGCGCTGTATGGGTGAGTATAAAGGTTGTCCAGCACTCAGTGCATGTCGGAGATAGCCCGACAGATGCTGCCACATGCTGGGTGTTCGCATACGATTCCCAAGCTCTTGCCATCCTAAACCCTAAGTCCCATGACCGCAAAACCCTGTCCAAATAAACCCTCAACCCTACAACACCCCCCCCCCCCCTCCGATGCCACCCTGAACCCCCCATCGGGCGCAGCCCCCTAAGCCTCCTAGCTCCTAGCTCAATCTGCGCACCTGGGTTTTATACAACTGCGCAAGCTGAAGCTGGAGCCCAACACACGCACACGCGTGCAATCCTCCCTCTGACCTGTCTTTGTTGACTCGTGAAGCTACTTGCAGAAGTAAAGATCTTCACCCACATAGGCGACTAAAGGATTTTCGTCGACATGCCAGGTTTGTGGCTTTGCCTGGTTGCCATACGGACAGCTGCCACGACGATCCAGGTGCACCCTCCCCCTTGATTCACAGGTACGTTTTCACGCCCCGTCACTGGCAGTCTTCGTTGGCTGAGGTGCCAGCGACGGGCCCTCAGCCCCCTGCCTTGCGTAACGCATCCCTTCGTAACAGGGTTCCCCACAGACACACTTGCTTGCTGCACCCCACCCTCCCCCGAAGGGGACCTGTGCATCCTGCGACCAGCGCAACAGTTGGCACAGACACACACTCTTGTCTGTACAGGGCGTGGTCCAACTGCTTCCGCCGTGCAAGTTTGCACACACGCAGTTCGTTTGCGGGAAAGGTTCCCATGGCCCGCGGAGGCTTGGCTGCACCGCAGCGACTGAGAAAGGCAGGGAGATGGTTCTCCTCCGAAGCAAAGTCAAATTAAAGGCCCGTACAATGAAGCATCCCCGCCATCTCCTCCTGTCAAAGCAAGGTTGGCCCTTTCTATCAGAGGGAGCAGAGTACTAGTGTTAGTTAGATGCAAACAAACACTCTGGTTAAACACACTGCACTCTGCGGGCCTGGCCGAACAACAGTGACTCAAGCTTTACTGGCTGTTGCGGGGGAGTTCTCACCAACCGGACAAAAACAAACTGCAGACAACGTCATCTTAACAAGTAAGTTGAACGCACGACAAACAGCGAGCGTCTCTTTT